TGGAAGACCCCTGGAATAACACAACCAGCCTCTCCCATTGACTTTGCTTGTCAGAAGGTCGCAAAAGGGGATCAGGTGACACCCCCACCAGGACGCTGCAACCGTCATATGTACATGCCAGTTGCCAAGCATTCAAATTTTGACCATGTGACCCCGGGGAACGCCGCCAGGGCAAAAAACTGCTCACAAGCCACTGTTCTCAACGCCGTTGTAGCTCCAGACGCTGGTAAGTCGAGCACTGTCAGTCTTCAAAGCTCTTCCAGACCAATTTACGCTCTCAAGGGTTTCCGAAAGGCCAACGAGGTTCGATTACTGCCATTAAATCTCCCGGGGGGCTCTCCCCGTTTCATAGTAACCCCCTCGTAGTCCCCTCACCCTCGTTCTCGTCCTTGAAGAGCTCCTCCGTGCCAAATTTGAGGATGTCGTCCAGCTCCTGTTTGGACATGCTCCCCGACTTGGAGCCCAGCCCGGGACGGACGACCAGGTGAGTCAGCATCATCTTGCGCTTGGCCACCTGGGTGATCCGTTCCTCCACCGAGGCCCGGGTGACGAAGCGGTAGATCATGACTTTGTTCGCCTGGCCGATACGGTGAGCTCTGCTGAAGGCCTAAAAAAAAGGGGGGGGGGTAGAACGAGGGAGGAAGGCGATTCAAAATAATTTCATTTGATTTATTTTATACTTGCCTTTCTCGTTGTTTGTAAAGAACTCAAGGCGGCGGACATAACCTACGCTTCCTTCCATCTCCTCTTTTTTTTTTTTTCCCCACATCAGCCCTGTTCGGTGGGTTGGGACGAGAGAGTGAAGAACCCAGAGGGAAAAAGCTTTGAGCGGATCTCCCAAGGATCACCCAAGGCTGGCGGGCTCTTCGTTAACCGAGAGGGAGACTTGCCTGGATATCGTTGTGGGGATTCCAGTCGGAATCGAAAATGATCACGGTGTCCGCCGTGGCCAAATTGATGCCCAGGCCGCCCGCTCGCGTCGAGAGCAGGAAGCAGAACTGCTGGGCTCCGGGAGCTGGAAAAAAGGAATGGTTTGGTGAGTAAGGGAGAGGAGGAAAAATAAAAAAGAAATGTTGAAATATTCAACATTCGGCATGAAAAAGCACATCCAAGACCTGGAAGATGGAGAATCTCCACAGACATTTAGCTCTTCACTTTGGGATGGACACCCTTTGAAGGGTGCCGGAGTGTGAACGGATTTCGAGAAAACATCGCGGACTACAGGAACCATCTGGGCTTCGGTTTGAGATGCAGGCAACAGACTCATCCCCAACAGTCTCCAACAGAGAAGGGACCCGGGGTAGAAAAACATCCTGCAGCCAAGAAGGCTCCATCCCCATTTGCACCACTCAAGTGACCCTGAGGACACAGGTAAACCTCCAAGTGGCCTCAATAGCGCTCTAAAAGAAGGCAAATGAGCAGCTGTCTGCAAGGAATTCTGCATATACCCACGTATATTATGTGACACAGAGAAACAACACAGTCTAGTTCGGGTGAGGCATACTTTTTTCACCACTGAATTTCATTTCGTTAAATAGCGCCCAGCGTTCAAGTCTGTCTAGATCCTTCTGTATCTTGAGCCTGTCACTTGTGGAGGGTTGGCTACTCCTGCCAGCTTGGTGTCGTCTGCAACTCTCTGTGTGGAGTTTCTATCTGAGGCACTGTTGCCACCAAACCAGACAGTGATGCGGTTTGTTAAAATGCTGTCAGTTGTGGCTCTGTTAAAAAGTGGCCAGGACAGAAGGAGAAAAACGTGGCTCTCCTCATCCGACGCAAAAAATGCAGACACCGATTTGCACGCCTCGCTAAGGATGACGGGTGGAGAGACCAAGTCAGATTGTTAGGTTATCTGTACCCCCAGATACTTAATACTGTTGACCACCTCTGCAGCTGCGTCCTTGATACTGATACGATGCGCAACAAGGAAGTCCAGTTGCCTCCTGGGAAAAAAAGCAGCTTCGGGACAATATTCGGAACGCTGCTGGAAAATTCTGGCTGGCAACGGCTTGCTTGTGTAATGGTTCCAACAGATGAAGCTCTTCCAAAGAACTTGGAGGCATTGTTTACCTTAAAGAATCTTTATTTTGAGTAGCATAATATCGGCACTGCATAATCAGAGCCAAAAACTAGATTCCCCTGAGCACATAGTATCAAAGCACAATTCCCCCCTCCAATTAATTCCCTCCTCCAATTAACAGTCGTAAATCACATTCCCCAATTAGCTTGAAGCGCAGGCTTTCTCTCCAGTTCTCCAGCCTACCAATTCCTTATCAGCTCTGGTTACAATAACCTTGATTCTCACACTAGGTTTAGTGTTGCTATGTCTAGCTGGACTCTCGTTCACATCCCCCCCTCCCAGCATCATCTAACTCAGACATGTCAAACACAAGGCCCGGGGGCCGGATGCGGCCTGCAAAGTGGTTTCATGTGGCCCGCGAAACCATCCTGGAAACAGTGAGGGAACGGCCCCCCGCTGCCTTGGCCCTGGCCCAGGCCGACCAGGAGCCAATGTACAATTTTGTGGTGGCCATCTATGTTGAAATGCATTAGCTCCACAAGGCCGTCTGGAAATAGCGAGGAATCAGCCCCTACCGCGTCGGCACCACCTCCTGGGTGCATGCTGGGGAGGGGTCACCCTTTGTGAGGAATGAAGAAATGGACCCTGCCTTGGCGCTTGCCCCGGTCCCACCCCGTTCTGCCTGAGACCCTCAGATCTGTCCCACTCCTGCCCAGGCCCCCACAGGCACCCTTGATGTGAACGATGTAGAGCTGGCCACGGCCACCCAGTTGGCCACACCCACTCCATCCACGACCACGCAGTAGGCCGCACCCACCCTGGCCACACACACACCCCGAGGGCAACCGCAATGCTGATGCGGCCCTCAATGAAATTGAGTTTGACACCCCTGCTCTAACTCTACAACAGTGGTTCTCAACCTGTGGGTCGGGACCCCATTTGGGGTCGAACGACCCTTTCACGGGGGTCGCCAAACAACGCAGTCCGCCATTTTTTTCCCCCTTTTCCTTAGCTGTGCTACTCCCTTTTATTCTATTGGCTTTTGAAAGCCAATAGAATGGATTCTCTTGAATAGAGTCTAATTCTATTGGCTTTCAAAAGCCAATAGGAATTGTCCAGGCTGTCTCTGTCCTGCTGAGCCCGCCAAAAGTCCCAGTCTGCAAATGGTGCTGCACCAGTTGAGTAGTCCTCGACTTACGACCGGTTGAGTAGTCCTCGACTTACGACTGGTTGGGGGTCGCGGCATTAAAAAGGTTGAGAACCACTGCTCTACAAGCAAAAGGTAAAAGACGGCTACGTTTCCCTCTGTTGTCAAACGCAAAAACGTCCGATGTCAGCAGCGTTGACATCTTGCTTGCTGCCGCAAACCAAGTCACGGGACGCTCGAACGAGAAAGCCCATCGTCCTGACGCCACATGGTTACCTCGAGCGGCCTCGGCACTCACCGTTAAACCGATCAATGGCTTCTTGGCGCAAGGCTCCGGTAATGCCGCCGTCTATCCGTTCGTACTTGTAGCCCTCGTAGTCCAGGAAATCCTCAAGCAGGTCCAGCATTTTGGTCATCTGGAAAAGACACACACACACAAACACACAAGGTCAGCGAGACTCAGTCAGAAGGGAAGAAGAAGGCATGTCGAAACACACACACACCCCAGTCGTGAGAACGCGACCCCCGTTGCATCTCAGGAAGCTCAACAGCTGGAGAAAAATTAAAGTACAGTTAGTCCTCCGTTTACAAAAATAGCTCATTTACAAAAATAGCTCATTTACATCAGATATGGGGGGGAAAAAAGTGACTTATTTATGACCATTTTTCACACTTGCAACCGACGCAGGCAGCCCCCCCCCCCCGTGGTCATGTAATCAAAATTCAGAGGCTTTTTTCGTCATCCTGGCTCACGTGATCCCCATTTGCAACCGTCCCAACCAGCTTCTGACCAGCAAACTCAGTGTGGGAAGCTGGGCTCGCGTAACAGCCGCGGGATTCGCTTAACGACCGCATGATTCACTTAGCAACAATGGCAAAAAAATACCGTTAAATTGGGTGACTATTTAACAGCTGTCTCGCTTAGTAACAGACATCCTGGTCCCAATCGGGCTCGTAAGACGAGGACTACCCGTGTTTCCTCTTTCGAAAGCTTTTTTTTAATTCCCTGGCCGTGACGCCATAAAAGAGGCCACAGGTTTTCCAGAAAACGTGCAAGGATAGAATAATAGATTGGAAGGGACCTTGGAGGTCTTCTAGTCCAACCCCCTGCTCAAGCAGGAGAACCTACCCCATTTCAAACAAATGGTTGTCCAATTTCTCCTTAAAAACTTCCAGTGATGGAGCACCCACAGCTTCTGGAGGCAAGTGGTTCCACTAACAGAATAACCGTGTTGGACCTTGGGAGGTCATCTAGTCCAACCCCTTGCTTGAGCAGGAGACCCCCTACATTCCAGAGAAATGCTTGCTCTATCTCTTCTTCAAAACTTCCAGTGTTGGAACACCCACAACTTGGTGGCAAGCTGTTCCACTGGCTAATTGTCCTCGCCGTTAGGAAGTTTCTCCTTAGTTCTAGGTTGCTTCTCTCCTTGATCAGTTTCCATCCATTGCTTCTTGTCCTGCCTTCCGGTGCTTTGGAGAATAGGTGGACCTCCTCTTTTGGGGGTGCATCCCCTCAGCTATTGGAAGACTGCTATCATGTTACCCCTAATCCTTCTCTTTGTTATATTAGACACCCCTGCTTCCTGCAGCTGTCCTTCACGTTTCGGTCTCCAGGCTTTTAATCCTCTTAGTTGCTCTTCTCTGCACTCTTTCTAAACTCTCAACATCTTTTTTTTATATCGTGGCGACCAAAAACCTACCAAGGCATTATAACCAATAATCCATCTTCTATCATTCTTTAAGCATGCAAAGAAGCCGGAATCGGCACCCGCTTCCCCAGCCCGAGAGCCGATTGGCCGGGCGGGAAAAACCCAAGATTAATCGGAATGGAGCATGGAACTCAATAGTAGTAGCTGCGAGAGGGATCTTGGAGTCCTAGTGGACCATCACTCAAATATGAGCCAGCCGTGTGCAGCAGCTGCCAAAAAAGCCAACACAGTGCTGGGCTGCATGAACAGAGGGATAGAATCAAGATCAGGTGAAGTATTAATACTACTTTACAAGGCCTTGGTAAGGCCACACTTGGAATACTGCATCCAGTTTTGGTCACCGCGATGTAAAAAAGATGTTGAGACTCTAAAAAGAGTACAGAGAAGAGCAACAAAGATGATTAGGGGACTGGAGGCTAAAACATACAAGGAAGGGCTGCTGGAATTGGGGATGTCCAGTTTAAGGAAGAGAAGGACGAGGGGGGACATGATAGGAGTATTCCAATATCTCAGGGGCTGCCCCAAAGAAGAGGCAGTCAAGCTATTCTCCAAAGCGCCTGAAGGCAGGACAAGAAGCAACGGGTGGAAACTAATCAAGGAGAGAATCAACCTAGAACTAAGGAGAAACTTCCTGACAGTTACAACAATTAACCAGTGGAACTCCTTGCCTCCAGAAGTGTGAATGCGCCCAACACTTAATGAAGAGAAGGATCAGGGGGGACATGATAGCCATCTTCCAGTGTCTCAAGGACTGCCCCAAAGAAGAGGGAGTCAAGCTATTCTGCAAAGCCCCTGAAGGCAGGACAAGAAGCAATGGATGGAAACTAACCAAGGAGAGAATCAACCTAGAACTAAGGAGAAACTTCCTGACAGTGAGAACAATTAACCAGTGGAACTACCTGCCCCCAGAAGCGGTGAATGCTCCAACACTGGAAGTTTTAAAGAAGAGACTGGACAGCCATTTGTCTGAAATGGTGTAGGGTTTCCTGCCTGAGGAGGGGGTTGGACCAGATGACCTCCAAGGTTCCTTCCAACTTTATTATTATTATTATTATTAATAATAATAATAATAATAATTACTTTCTTTTTTTTCTTTCGGGTTTTGCACTTTCAATCTTCCGGATAAAATAAAACTGGCAACAACAACAACAACAAAAAGATGATGATGATGATGAAGAAGAAGAAGAATATGCTTGAGAGCAATTCAGAATCATCCTGGCTAGACCCGAAGGGTTATTTCTGACCAATCGCAAAAGGCTGAGACTTTTTTTTTGGGCAGCTCCCAACGGACGGACAGAGCGGGAGAAAGAACGAACTGCCCTCACGTTATTTACGGTCCCTGCTGCTCTCCCTTTAATAAGGCGACTCAGGAAGAAAGCTCCCTTCGTCGAGCTGAGAGCATTTGACGGTTACAAAGAGTCGTAGTTTCCGACAGATAATGAACCTGACAGCGCGCCACCGCGCTCTTCCTGACAACCTCACTCCCCGACAAGTTCATCGCCTCGACCGATGCTGCCCTTCGGAAAGCGAAAAGGCGAAACTTGTCAACCGGTCGGATTAATGAGTCTGCCTGGAAAATACTCGGCAGATGGTGTAAAATCGGGAGGGGGGAGGGAGGAAAAAAGAGAGAGTCGCAATAGAAAAGAAACTAAGCAGGCTTACAGAGGGGGCTGAGACACACACACACACACACACACACACACACACACACACACACACACACACACCCCGGCACCTTTAAGAGGCAATCTCAGTTCTTGGTGCTTGGTGGTTTTCTTGCAGATGTTTCGTGACCCAACTAGGTAACGTCATCAGTGCTAGGAGGAAGTAGGGTTGGAGGAGGAGGAGGGGAGGAGGAGGAGGAAGAGAAGAGGCGGAGGAGGAGAAGAGGAGGAGGTGGAGGAAGAACAAGACGAGGAGGAGGAGAAGGAAGAAGAAAAAGAAAAAGAAGAGGAGGAGGAAGAAGAGGAGGAGGAGGAGGAGAAGAGGAGGAGGAAGTGGAGGAAGAAGAAGAACAAGAGGAGGAGGAGGAGAAGGAAGAAGAAAAAGAAAAAGAAAAAGAAGAGGAGGAGGAGGAGGAGAAGAGGAAGAGGAAGTGGAGGAAGAAGAAGAACAAGAGGAGGAGGAGGAGGAGGAAGAAGAAAAAGAAAAAGAAGAGGAGGAAGAAGAGGAGGAGGAGAAGAGGAAGAGAAAGTGGAGGAAGAAGAAGAACAAGAGGAGGAGAAGGAAGAAGAAGAAAAAGAAAAAGAAGAGGAGGAGGAGGAGGAAGAAGACGAGGAGGAGGAGAAGAAGAAGAAGAGGAGGAGGAGCAGGGGGGGGAGGAAAGGAGGAGAGCTGTGGGGTCCTTGGTACTCTCTGAGCCTCGTAGTTTTCTTGCAAACATTTCGTGACCCAACCAGGTAACCTCATCAGTGCTAGGAGGAAGTAGGATTTGCACTCTGTTTGTAATAGTGCCTTGTCAGTACTGTTAGGAGTGGTCTTGGGGGTTCCCTGAGGAACTCCCACCACTAACATCAACACAGACAGAGCAAGCCACTGGTATATAAACAGAAAGCAAATCCCCCCTTCCTTCCATCACTGATGACGTTCCCTAGTTGGGTCATGAAATGTCTGCAAGGAAACCACCCAGCTCAGAGAGCAGCAAGGACCCCACAATCTTCTTCTTCTTCCTCCTCCTCCTCCCTATTGTTCCCTATTGTTCCCACCCTATTGTTCAGGTCCTATGGAGTGGAAACGGAGGCCCTCTTCTCTATCACAGCCGTTCTGGCTGGCTGGCTGAGGAATTCTGGGAGTTGAAGTCCATCAGTCCTCAAAGGGTCCTAGTTCCCTCACGCCGGCTGAGGAATTCTGGGAGTTGAAGTCCATCAGTCATCAAAGGGTCCTAGTTCCCTCACGCTGGCTGAGGGATTCTGGGAGTTGAAGTCCATCAGTCATCAAAGGGTCATGGTTCCCTCATGCTGGCTGAGGGATTCTGGGAGTCGAAGTCCACAAGTCATCAAAGGGTCCTAGTTCCCTCACTCTGGCTGAGGAATTCTGGGAGTTGAACTCCACAAGTCATCAAAGGGTCCTGGTTCCCTCACGCCGGCTGAGGAATTCTGGGAGTTGAAGTCCATCAGTCATCAAAGGGCCATAGTTCCCTCACTCTGGCTGAGGAATTCTGGGAGTTGAAGTCCACAAGTCATGAAAGGGCCCTAGTTCCCTCACACTGGCTGAGGAATTCTGGGAGTTGAAGTCCACGAGTCTTCAAATTGCCAAGTCTGGAGACCCCAAGCTTAGCCATTCCCCGGACGAATTTGCCCTCCAGACCCCCTGATCGTTTTCGCTGCTCTTCTCTGCCCTCTTTCTCAGGCCTCATCCTGCTACTGTGAGTGTGGGGTGATTTTTTTCTGGCAAAGGCTGTCACCCCCAGCCCGTACACACCGCCAAAAGCTCGCCCATTCCACCCCCCGTTCTAGGCCATGCGTACCTGAGCCCGTTTTTACCTGGGAGAAGATCAGCACTCGGTGTCCCTGCTCCTTCAGCTTCCTCAGCATCTTCTGCAGGAGCATGAGTTTCCCAGAGGCCTTGATGAGGGCCCCCCCTTCGTAGGCGCCGCTGGGCAGCTTGGGAGATTCCTGCCAGGACAAGACAGACAGCGGTCACTTGTCGTTGGGTGGAGAATAATACCGGACGATGGGTTCCGGGTTTCCGTTTTCGGTGTCGTCTCCCGGGATTTTGCCACCCGAGTAGGGAACCTCATCAGTGCTGGAAGGGAGTGGGGGTTGTGGAGTGGAAAGAGGAAGAGGAGGAGGAGGAGAGGAGGGAAGAAGGAGGGGGGGGAGGAGGAGGACTGTAGGGTCCTTGGTGCTCTCTGAGCTGGGTGGTTTTCTTGCAGACGTTTCATGACCCAACTAGGGAACATCATCAGTGCTAGAAAGGATTGCAGGGATGATGATGATGAGGAGGAGGAGGAGGAGGAGAACTGTGGGCTCCTTGATGCTCTCTGAGCTTGGTGGTTTTCTTGCAGACATTTCATGACTCAACTAGGGAACGCCATCAGTGTTAGAAGGGGGGGGGCTGAGGAGGAGAAGGACTGTGGGATCCTTGGTGCGAGCTAGGTTGCTTTCTTGCAGACATTTCATGACCCAACTAGGGAACATCATCACTGTTGGAAGGGACTGGAGTTTGTGGAGAGGAGGAGGAGGACGAGGACTGTGAGGTCCTTGGTGCTCTCTGAACTTGGCGGTTATGAAACATCAGCAAGAAAGTAACCCATCCCACAATCCTTCCCTTCCTTCTCCTCTTCCTCCTCCTCCCCCTACGACCCTCCTCCCTTCTAGCACTGATGATGTTCCCTAGTTGGGTCATGAAATGTCTGCAAGAAAGCCACCCAGCTCAGAGAGCACCAAGGGCCCCACAGTCCTCCTCCTCCTTCTCCTCCTAGCACTGATGATGTTCCCTAGTTGGGTCATGAGACGTCTGCAAGGAAACCAGCCAGCTCAGAGAGCACCAAGGACCCCACAGTCTTCCTCCTTGCCACTCCTCCTTCTCCTCCTCTTCCTCCTTCCCTTCTCTGACTCTTCTTCCTCTTCCTTCTTCTTCTCCCTCCTCCTTTTTCCACTCAGTAAATCCCCCCTCCCTTCTAGCACTGATGGCGTTCCCTAGTTGGGTCACGAAACGTCTGCAAGAAAGCCACCCAGCTCAGAGAGGACCCCAACCCTCAGCCACCAAGCTTTTCTTCTCTTCATAGAAGATTAAATGGAAATCTCCAAACCTATCCATGAGTTTCTTTTGCATTCTCCACTGAGAAGCTGCCCACCTGGTAGTGCGATTCGCAAAACAGAACCCTAGGCTAAAAGTGACAATTCCTGTCCCCGGGGGGGGGGGGCATCCTGCGAAGCCAAGCAAATTGCCCTGATTTCCCCCCCCCCAAATCCTCTGGTACCTGCTGAGCTGGCCAACCTACCATCGCAGCCACGGGAAAGAGGTAGGGGTGATTGCAGCACTTCTTCAAGTCCATCATGATGTTGAGCAAGGAGACTTGGTTCCCGCCGCCGCGCGAGTTCAGCGCCTCAAAGTTGCGAGTCAGGATGTATTTATAATATTTCCTGATTTTTTGGGGGGGGGGAAAAAGAAGAGTTAGAGTCCCAAAAATAAGAAAAGAAGGAGAAAAGCACGAGGCTATGATCCATCTACCCATAAAAGCACAAACACAGTAGTGGTCAAAATGGTGGAAACCTTTTGGGAAAAATGTATTTTTGAGGTTTGATGGCTAATAATACCCCCCCCCCTTTTTTTTGGAGTAGTACCCTAAAATTATATATCAATGGAAAGATAATTTAATCAAGAATGTAACGCAACCAAGTCTGTTCAATTATCTGTACTGGATTCTGTGAAAAGTTATAGCCCAAGAACCAGAAAAAGGAAGCACCACTTGCTTAGGTTGATCTCAGGTAGCTTTCCTTCCTCTGATGGTAGCCAATGAGCATGAGCGTTTAGAGAGCCAATCAGGTGTCATCTTCTTTTGGCCATGAGCCAATCAGATCACAGTAGGATCCAGTTATTGATGTTGTTATTGATGTCATGTATTGAAGCTGAGAGGGCATTGGTCAGTGTGTTATGGGATCACTATCCAGTTGGTGGGGTTTTTTTGTATGTTCTTCCATTTAGGGAGCTTATTAAATGTAAAAAAATTTAAGTAATGGTGCAAAGAGTTGACTAGTTGCCCAGAAAGCAATGTAAAATAGTATTATTAAGTGAACAAGGCTGCGGTTATAAAGAAATTAGAAGAAAAATGGGTGGAAACTTAACCAAAGGTGGCATTGCTACTGTACACTTTTCCCAAAAGGTTTCCATCATTTTGGCCACTACTGTATGTGTGTGAGAAAGGGAGAGGAGGGGGAAGGAAGGAGGGAGAGAGAGAGAGAGATGGAGAAAGAGAGAGAGAGAGAGAGAGAGAGAGAGAGAAAGGAAGGGAGAAAGAAAGAAAAAAGAAAGAAAGAAAGAGAAAGGGAGAAAGAGGGAGGGAGAAAGAGAGAAAGAAAAAAAGACAGAAAAAGGGAGAAAGAAAGAGAGGGAGAAAGAGAAAGAAAAAAAGACAGAAAGAGAAAGGGAGAAAGAAAGAGAGGGAGAAAGAAAGAAAAAAAGACAGAAAGAGAAAGGGAGAGAGAAAAAAAGACAGGGAGAGAAAGAGAAAGAGAGAAAGAAAAAAGACAGAAAGAGAAAGGGAGAAAAAAAGACAGGGAGAGAAAGAGAAGGAGAAAGAAAGAGAGAGAGGGAGGGAGAAAGAGAGAAAGAAAGAAAGAGAAAAAAAGACAGAAAAAGAAAGGGAGAGAGAAAGAGGGAAAGACAAAGAGAAAAAAAAGAGAGAGACCCAGTAAAGTCAAGAAAGCCTTCTTCCGAATTTTTGACCTGCCAAGCCCCAAAAGTTCTCCATCGCTGCTGCTCTAACTCAGCCAATTCCTGCTCCTCACACACAAAACTTTACCGACACCTTCCAACACCTCTTACACACTCACTCCCCACCTTACTTCCAAAGACCCCCTAAACCCTAAAAAAAAAAAGAAGAAGAAAAAGGGATTTGCTTTTCTTCTCCTTCTTCTAAAAGCAACCGCCTTCGAGCCTCTTTGGATGAGAAGCGAAACGTGTGAAAAGGAAAAATAAATAAAATAAAATAAAAACAGGTAGGCCCAACTGCCTTTTGAAACAAAAAAAAAGGGAAAAAAAGAGAAAAGGACTTTTGGGACAAGCAAAACGTTTTAAAAGGAATAATAATAATAATTAAAAAAACAACCAGCAGGCAGGTCCAACTGTCTTTTGAAAAAACGATATTTTTTTTTTTTTAAAGAAAGGACCTTTGGGACAAGCCTGACTTGGCTGATGGGGAACCTCCATTTAAAACCCCAAATCATGAATTCTCCCCTTGAGGACCCCCCCCCAAAGACACCCCCCTAAGTACTTCTGCATGGGGCTCAGCTCCACCCGCACGATCAGCTCCGTCTTGGCCGGCATGTTCTTGAAGACGTCGGCTTTCAGGCGGCGTAACATGTGGGGACCCAGTAGATCGTGGAGCTTCTTAATTTGATCCTCTTTGGAGATGTCAGCAAACTCCTCAAGGAATCCTTCCAAGTTGCTGGGGGGGGGGGGGAAGAGAGAGACACACACACACAATCCTGGTTACGCACAGGGAGATGGGGGCAAAATGCCACATAAGTAAGTCCTCCACTTACAACTGTCCGTTTAGCTCAAAGTCACCACGGCCCTGGGGGAAAAAAGGGGCTCGGGACTCGTTTTTCACACACTGGCCACCCCGTGGGTCACGGGATCAAAATTCAGAGGGCTCATATTTACGACGGTCGCTGCGTCCCGTGTGTGTGTATGTGTGTGTGTGTGTGTGTGTGTGTGTGATATGATCCCCACTTGGGCGAGCGAAGTCAACCGTCTTACGGACTTAAACCCCTGCAGTGGTTCAACTGAACAAGCGGGGCAAAGAAAAGTTCGTTAAAATGGAGCAAAACTCCACCGAACCAACGTTTCAGTTAGCGACGTCAATTTTGGGCTCGTCCCTGGAGGGCTACCTGTATAACGGTTAGCCCTTGATTTACGACCACAACTGGGATCACATAATAATAATAATAATAATAATAATAAGTTGGAAGGGACCTTGGAGGTCATCTAGTCCAACCCACTGCTCAGGCAGGAAACCCTATGCCATTTCAGACTAATAATAATAATAATAATAATCATAGATTGGGAAGGGACCTTGGAGTTCATCTAGTCCAACCCCCTGCTCAGGCAGGAAACCCTAGACCATTTCAGAATAGTAATAATAATAATAATAATAATAATAATAATAATAATAATGTTGAGAAGGACCTTGGAGTTCATCTAGTCCAACCCCCTGCTCAGGCAGGAAACCCTAGACCATTTCAGAATAGTAATAATAATAATAATAATAATAATAATAATAATAATAATAATAATAATAATGTTGAGAAGGACCTTGGAGGTCATCTAGTCCAATCCCCTGCTCAGGCAGGAAACCCTAGACCATTTCAGACTAATAATAATAATAATAATAATAATAATAACAAGAACAACAACAACAACAACAACAGTAAAGTTGGAATGGACCTTGGAGGTCATCTAGTCCAACCCTCTGCTCAGGCAGGAAACCCTAAGCCTAGACCATTTCAGACTAATAACAATAATAATAAAGTTGGAAGGGACCTTGGAGATAATCCAGTCCAACCCCCTGCTCAGGCAGGAAACCCTACACCAGGCATGTCAAACTCGCGACGTCACATGACGTATCGGAGCTTTTTCGCCATTGCCGGCAATGGGATAGGCGCGGCTCCGGTGTGATGGAACCCCTGCCCTACACCATTTCAGACAAAGAGCCGTCCAGTCTCTTCTTAAAAACTTCCAGTGTTGGAGCATTCACCGCTTCTGGTGGCAAGCTGTTCCACAGGTTCATTGTTCTCACTCTCAGGAAATTTCTCCTTAGTTCTAGGTTGCTTGAGTAAACAAGGCGGTTCTTAAGCAAGTTATGCTCTGAATTTTACTTTCTTTTTTTTGGGGGGGGGGTTTAAGCAAATTGCTGCAAGGCCTCCGTCGGTGGGACGGGAGGAGTCCTCATCCCTCAATCTCCCAAGAGGAAAAAAAAAAAAGGATCTTCAGGACTATCAACATCACAAGGCGAGTTGAAGGGGGGAAACACCAGAACGTTGGCAATACCCGGTGTGGCCAAGAGAGGGAGCCGTTTGGCCAGACACAAAAGTTTGTGAAGCAGAGAAAACAACAACTGTTAAGTTTTCCCAATTTGACCTCCGTGTTGCGTTGCACACAAGCCAGGGTGACACTAGCCAGGAAGTGGTTCTTGCAGGTACCCTTCAGGTGTTGCAAAGGTATCCAGGTGGGTTTCTCGGCAAGAACACCCCTGCTTCCTCTAGGTCAGAGGACCCCGACCTTTTGGGCACCAGGGACCACCGGGTCTGTGGAGAAAGGTTTCGTGTGTGGCAAAATGGCGTGGTTGTGTGTGCTGCCTACATCCCGCGGATGGGGCTTTGCTTGTTTGTGCAGCCTGGTAGCTGGTGTGCTACAACTTGTACTGCTGCATGGAGCGGAGGTTGGGGACCCCTGCTCTGGGATACAGGGATATCCAACCTAGATGTCTCCTGCTTAAGCAGGGGGTTGGACTACAGGACCTCTAAGGTCCTTTCCAACTCTGTTATTAATTCCCCAGCCTCGCTGGCTGGGGAATTCTGGGAGTTGAAGTCCACAAGTCTTAAAGTTGCCAAGTTGGAAGACCACAGGCATGCCGGCTGAGGAATTCTGGGAGTTGAAGTCCACCAGTCCTCAAAGGATCCTAGTTCCCTCACGCTGGCTGAGGAATTCTGGGAGTTGTAGTCCACAAGTCATCAAAGGGCCGAGTTGGAAGACCCCTGCTTGTGGATTTCAACTCCCAGAATTCCTCAGCCAGCGTGAGGGAACTGGGACCCTTTTATGACTGGTGGACTTCAACTCCCAGAATTCCTCAGCCGGCGTGAGGGAACTATGTCCCTTTGATAACTTGTGGCTGAGGAATTCTGGGAGTTGTAGTCCACAAGTCATAAAAGGGTCCTACTTCCCTCACGCTGGCTGAGGAATTCTGGGAGTTGAAGTCCACAAGTCATCAAAGGACCGAGTTAGAAGACCCCTGGACTACTGGATCCCAGGGAAAAGTAGTGGAGGAGCAAACCATCCCGCTGAAAAAAGTGCAAGAGCCAACACTCCCGGGCCCATCATCCACGGCCCCCTTCGAAAGCCAGGGGGAAGGAAGGAAGGAAGGAAGGAAGGAAGGAAGGAAGGAAGGAAGGAAGGGCGGCCTACTTGAACCTCTCCGGCGTGAGGAAGTTGAGCAGGTGGAAGAGCTCCTCCAGGTTGTTCTGCAAGGGCGTCCCCGTCAGCAGCAGCTTGTGGTCGATTTTGTAACCGTTGAGCACCCTGAAGAACTGAAATCGAGAGATGGGGGGGGAGACGGTGAAGGCCCGGCGGCCATCTTTACTCCTCCTCCTCCTCTTCCTCCTCCCCCCCCCTCGGCCCGCCGCCGAGCCGCGGCCCTCACCTTGGACTGGTTGTTTTTGAGCCGGTGGGCTTCGTCCACCACAAGGCAGGCCCACCGGATGGAGGCCAAGGCCGCCTGGTCGATGGTGACCAGCTCGTAGGAGGTCAGCAGGACGTGGAACTTCACCTGGGCTTCTCTCTGGGGAAGGGGGGGGGAGAGAGGGACGGCGGTCAAGGGCTCCGCTTCTCTGGCCTGGGAGGCCGTCCGGCCGTCTCTGCCCTCAGCAAGAGGTCAAACTCGGAGTCGACGGGCCTTTCACACAACCTCCCCCCCCCCTCTTACTCAGTTGGGTCTAGGGGGGTGGTTAAGGCACCAGGCCGGAAAGCGGAAGTTTGTGAGTTGTAGTCCTGCTTCAGCCAGGAAGGCCACCTGGGTGACTTTGGGCCAATCATCAGGAGAGGGTGAGTTCTAGTCCCGCCTTAGAATCGAATGACAGGTGGGTGATATTGGGCCAATCACCAGGAGACGGTGAGTTCTAGTCCCGCCTTAGACCTGAGTAAAAGCTGGGTGATATTGGGCCAATCACCAGGAGAGGGTGAGTTCTAGTCCCGCCTTAGAATCTAATGACAGCTGTGTGATATTGGGCCAATCACCAGGAGACGGTGAGTTCTAGTCCCGCCTTAGACCTGAATAAAAGCTGGGTGATATTGGCCCAATCACCAGGAGACAGGGAGTTCTAGTCCTGTCTTAGCCGTAAATGCCAGCTGGGTGACTTGGGGCCAATCACCAGGAGACAGTGAGTTCTAGTCCGGCCTTAGATTTGAATGACAGCTGGGTGATATTGAGCCAATCACCAGGAGAGGGTGAATTCTAGTACCTCCTCAGGAATGACAGCCAGCTGGTTGACTTTGGGCCAATCACCAGGGGACGGTGAGTTCTAGTTCCGCCTTAGACATGAATGCCGGCTGGGTGATACTGGGCCAATCACCAGGAGACGGGGAGTTCTAGCCCTGCCTTAGGCATGAAAGCAACTAGGTGACTTTGGGCCCATCACCAGGAGACAGGGAGTTCTAGTCCTGCCTTAGCTACGAATGCCAGCTGGAGGACTTTGGGCCAATCACCAGGCGACAGGGAGTTCTAGTCCCTCCTCAGGCATGACAGCCAGTTGCGTCACTTTGGGCCAATCACCCAGGAGACGGTGAGTTCTAGTCCCGCCTTAAGCACGAAAGCCGGTTGGGTGACTTCGGGCCAGTCCCCCTCTCTCAGCCCCACCCACCTCACGGGGGGGCGGGGTCCTTGTTGTGGTGGTTAAACTAGGAGGCAGAAGGTGTGTTGGATACGCCCCCCAGGAGTTATTTATAAAAAAATAATAATAAAGGCAGGATCCAAATAAACCAGTGGTTCTCACCCTGTGCGTCGGGACCCCATTTGGGGTCGAACGACCATTTCACGGGGGTCGCCAAACAACGCAGTCCGCCATTTTTTCCCCCTTTTCCTTGGCTGTGCTACTCCTTTTTATTCTATTGGCTTTTGAAAGCCAATAGAATAGACTCTCTTGAATAGAGTCTAATTCTATTGGCTTTCAAAAGCCAATAGGAATTGTCCAGGCTGTCTCTGCCCTGCTGAGCCCGCCAAAAGTCCCCGTCTGCAAACGGTGCTGCACCAATTGAGTAGTCCTCGACTTACGACCGGTTGGGGGTCGCGGCATTAAAAAGGTTGAGAACCACTGAAATAAACCGACTGAAAACTAAACGAGCCAACCCAGAACGAACTTAAAACGTGGACGCTCCTCTCGAAAAGGGGAAGGGGAGACACAGAAGTGAGCGAGAGAGGTGACCTTGATTCAAGGCTTATTTCCCCTAGACCCAGGTTGAACGCAGCCGCATCGGTTGAACGCAGCCGCATCTCTCGGGCACAAAAAGGGCCCAATCCCTGCCAGTTTCAACGGAAGCCCGTTCAGATCGCCCCAGCAGAAAGTCCCCGATCGAGACAGCAGCCAGGCTTCGAACGGCGGCAGGCTGCGGAGTAGATGGGGGGGGGGGGAAATAAATAAAATTAAAATTAAAAATACATCTCCTTTACTTGCCTTCATTTTGAAGGCTTTCTTCCCGCCCTTCATGGCGTTGTCCTCGAAGGAAAACTCGTTCTCCCGGATGATGGAGCGGCTGTCCTTGTCGCCTGTGTAGGTCACCACGTAGAAATTAGGCGCCCACATCTGGAACTCCCGCTCCCAGTTGATGATGGTGGACAGAGGGGCGCTGACCAGGAAAGGACCCTTGGTGTGGCCCTGGGGGGGGGGAGAGAAAAAAAAAAAGGAGAACAGCAGATCAGGGATGAGCCACACGGCTGCTCCCCTGCTTGCAGCAGTTCGTTGAGTGACCGGAGTTACGACGGGATCAGGGGGGGGGGGAAAGTGCTGGGTGACTGTTTTTCACGCTTACGACCGTTGTTAAGATGCTTGGGAACGGATTCGTATTTGTGACGGTTGCAGTGTCCCTGGTTGTGTGTGTGTGTGTGTGTGTGTGTGTGAGAGAGAGAGAGAGAGAGAGAGAGAGAGAGAGCGAGAGATCTGCTTCCCTTCTGCCCGGCAAAGTCGGTGAATACGCTTAACGACCCCGTGTTACTAACTTCACCGCTGCCAGCTGAGGCAAGAAAAAGCCGTAAAAATGGGGCGCAAGTGATGCTCAGTCTAATAAAACGTTTCGCGGAATGGCAGAAACGTTTTCGCTCAACTGTGCTCGTCAGCCGAGGACACCTGTATTAATAACAACAACAGAGTTGGAAGTGACCTTGAGGGTCATCTAGTCGAGCCCCCGGCTCATGCAGAAAACCCCATAGTACCATTTCAGACAAATGGCTGTCCAGTCTCTTCTTGAAAACTTCCAGTGTTGGAGGGAGGAAGGAAGGAAGGAAGGAAGGAAGGAAGGAAGGAAGGAAGGAAGGAAGGAAGGAAGGAAGGAAGGAAGGAAGGAAGGAAGGAAGGATAACAGAATAACAAGAGTTGGAAGGGACCTTGGAGGTCATCTAGTCCAACCCCCTGCTCAGGCAGGAAACCCTATACCAGTGGTGGCGAACCTATGGCACGGGTGCCAGAGGCGGCACGCAGAGCCCTCTCTGTGGGTACGCGCGCCATTGCCCCGGTCCTAGGCCTTCAGCTGGGTTTTATAAAACCTTTTCACTTTAGGCCTCTGCCGCCATCTGCAAAAAAAAAAAAAAAAAGGTTCAATCAATCAGTCAATTTCAACTTCTTGCGGAGAAAAAAAAGATCTTGCAAAGTTGGAATTCATTGATTGAACTTTTTAGTCCCACCCAGTCTGCCGTTACCACTGCGGCTACGCCCAGCCAATGGGCCACACCCACCCAATTGGCCACGCCCAACAAATGGGCAACAACCACCCGGTACTTGACGATGCATAAGTGGGTGTTGGGTTGCAGTTTGGGCACTCAAAGGTTCGCCATCACTGCCCTATCCCATTTCGGACAAATGGCTGTCCAGTCTCTTCTTAAAAACTTCCAGTGTTGGAGCATTCACTGCTTCTGGAGGCAGGTGGTTCCACTGGTTAAAGGTTCTAACTGTCAGGAAGTTTCTCCTTAGTTCTAGGTTGCTTCTCTCCCTGATTAGTTTCCAGCCCTTGCTTCTCTAAAATAAAATAAAATTGCGTGCTACCCAGGCCCCCTCTGCGAGAGAAAGCGGCGGCTTGAAAAGTTTTGAGGTATAACGAAATAAACTCGCCGGGGTCTGGCCTGACTTGGCACCACCCAGCGATTCTCAGCCCGTTTCGCATTTGGCTCCCGGGGGCCGGGCTATGCCGAGACGGCTCCATTCATAAAAACAAAGCAAAACAACCCCCCCCCAAAAGTCCTCGACTTACGACCGGTTGGGGGGTCACGGCATTAAAAAGGTTGCGAACCACTGGTATAAAGAAATAAACTTGCCACGGCACCACCCAGCGATTCTCAGCCCGTTTCGCATTCGGCTCCTGGGAGCCAGGCTACGCCAAGACGGCTCCATTCATAAAAACAAAACAAAACAAAAATCAGGACACCAGAACGAGCGAAGTTTCTCCCTGTGGCCCTGCTGGGATCCCTGACACACCGCCAGCCGCCACGGCAGCTGTTCCCACGCGGCAGCTGTTCCCACGCAGGAAGAACAGCTGTTTTCACGCAAGGACCCTCCTGCCCGCAGCTGGCGCGCCCGCCTCGCACCGAGGACTCGCCCGGCAGCACCGTCTGGGCCAGAAAGTGGGCACAAACGCAAAGCCCCCCCTCCCCAAAGACTTCCAAACCAACACCAGGCAGGGATGGGGGAAACCCCTGTTGTCGTGCGCGGCGACGAAGGCACGCTGCGCCGGGAGCATCGTTAAAGCAGCACGCATCGCCTCTGGGAAAAGGGGATTCCTGGAAGTGCACACAGGCGTGCACCACGCAAAAGAGCACGCATGCAAATAGGTTTTGTTCTCCAGGAGGTTTTCTTGGTGCAAATGTAATTTTTTTTGTCTCGAGGGTCTCGTCCTCGTCTCTGGAGAGAGAGAGAGAGAGAGAGGAAGGAAGGAAGAGGCAAATCCCGTTTTATCTCCGGCTAAAGAAGCAGCAGCTGGAGCCGTTAGAAGTTATCGGCTGCTGGGCTCCAGCAGGGATAAATCTCACACTCACACCACACACAGACACACACAAAACACACAGACACAGACGCCGCTTTTCATCTTCGTCAAGAGCCCGCAGCTTGAGTGGTTCAGCCAAGTGTGCTGGCAAAGCTAAGACACACACACACACACACACACACACACACACACACACACACACAGAGACAACCTCCCCCCAGGCTGTTTTGGCCAGAGAAGGCAAGTGGGGCACAATGGAGGCTTCCAAAGGCCTCTGGGGGGGGGGGGCTGGCGCAGGCAGATAGGCGCAGGAAGAATTCGAACAGGCAGCCAGTTGGAAGGGCCAAACGGGGCATTGGGCCAGGGATGGGCGGGGTGGGAATGGGACAAGAGGACCCGGCAGTGGGCTGGACAGTCTGGGGAAAGGAGGGGAAAAGGAGGGGGGGATGAAAGATGAAAGGGTAGGGAAGACACCAGCTGGACTCCCAATGGATTCTGTGAATGAGCCTCTCAGCGCGCGCGCGCGCGCGTGTGTGTGTGTGTGAGAGAGAGAGAGAGAGAGAGAGCAGGAAAGGGAGAAAGAGAGAGAGAAAGAGGGAACAACAGAAAGAGAGAGTGGGAAAGGGAGAAAGAGAGAGCAGGAGAAAGAGAGTGGGAAAGGGAGAGAGAAAGGGAGAAAGGGAGAAAGAAAGAAAGAAAGAAAGAAAGAAAGAAAGAAAGAAAGAAAGAAAGAAAGAAAGAAAGAAAGAAAGAAAGAAAGAAAGAAAGAAAGGGGAGAAAGACAGAGAGAGAGAAAAAAAAGAAAGAAAAGAAAGAAAGAAAGAAAGAAAGAAAGAAAGAGCGAGAAAGAAAAAGAGAAAGAAAGAAAGAAAGAGCAGGAAAGAGAAAAAGAAAGAAAGGGGGAAGGAAGAGAGAGAAAGAGAAAGAAAGAAAAAGAGAGCAGGAAAGGGAGAAAGAGAAAGAGGAAGGGAAAGCAGAAAGAGAATGAGGGAGAGCAGGAAAGAGTGTGAGAGAGAGAATAAGGGAGAGAAAGAGAGAGTGGGAAAGGGAGAGAGAAAGAGACAGAGTGGGAAATGAAGAAAGAGAAACAGAGAGAGAATAAGAGAGAGAGAAAAAGAGAGAATAAGGGAGAGAAAGAGAGCGGGAAAGAAAGAGAGAAACAGAGAGAGAGAGAGAGAGAAAAAGGGAGAGAAAGAAAGCGGGAAAGGGAGAAAGGGTGAAAGAGAGTAAAGGAGAGAAAGAGAGAGCGGGAAAGGGAGAGAGAAAGAGACAGTGGGAAACGAAGAAAGAGAGAGAAAGAGAGAGAGGAAGAAAGAGAGAGAAAGAGAGAGCGGGAAAGTAAGAGAGAGAAACAGAGAGAGAGAGAAAGAGAGAATAAGGGAGAGAAAGAGAGCGGGGAAGGGAGAAAGAGAAAGGGAGAAAGAGAGAGTAACAGAGAGAGAGAGAAGCCACCCCCCTTTTGATGTTTGGACCGCCCTAGAAAGAAACCCCAGGGCCGGAGTCCGGCCCCCAAGTGGTGCTCCCGCCTCACCTCCCTGTAGAGCGAGTAGAGGAAGACGATGGTCTGGATGGTCTTGCCGAGGCCCATCTCGTCCGCCAGGATGGTGTCGGTGCTTTGCGCCCAGGAGAAGCGCAGCCAGTTCAGCCCTTCCAGCTGGTACATGTGCAGCGTCCCCCCGGTGGAGGTGACGAAGCGGGGCTGGCTCTCGTACTTCACCGTCGGCTGCGGGGAAGAAGGGGGGGGTCCACTTGAAAACGGGGAACCCAAACAACCGGGCTCGCCTCCCTTATTTTGTCCTCGACTTACGACCGTTCGCTTCGCGACCGTCCCGAGTCGCGACGCCCCCGGGAGGAGAAAAGCGCCATAGCGCCGTTTCTCCGCACCGATGACCCCCCCCCCGGTCACACCTTCACGGTCACGTGATCAAAATCCCCACACTCGGCCACCGGCTCACCGTTATGACGGTCGCGGCGGGCTCCCTGATCCCTTTTTGCGACCTCCAAGTCAACGGAGGGGAGGGGGAGACAGGTTCGCTTTAACAACCGCGTTGCTAACTTAACAACCACTGCAGGGATTTATTGAGCAACTCCGGCAAAGAACTCGTGGCCGTAAAGGTGGAGCCGAGGGTTGTGGTCGTTAAGTCGAGGACTACCTGGGTTCCTTCTGCCTGGCTGTGGCACAGGGATTCCCCCCCCCTGGAACTCACGTCATTGGTGGGAGAACTCGGGGGGTCGTCCGAGCTCAGCTCCTTCTTTTTTTTCTTGTACTTCCTCGGCTGGGCCGGATCTTCACCCATAATTAGTTCTCTGGTTACAAGGAGGAGAGAAATGAGGGTCTTAGTTGCCCCACGGAAGCTGCTAGTAAGGACCCCAGCTAGAATCGGAATCAGAACAGAGCGAGAAGGGGCCTGGGAGGCCTTCTAGTCCAGCAGATTGGAGAGGAAGGGATTATAAGAGAGTAAGCAGGGCCACCATGAGTCTGCTGGCTTGGGAATTCCGGGAGTTGGAAGTACCACAGGTCTTAAAGTTCCCAAGGTTGGGGAGTCCTGTTCTAGTCCAACCCCCTGCTCAAGCAGGAGACCCTAGACCAGTGGTTCTCAACCTTTTTAATGCCGCGACCCCCCAACCAGTCGTAAGTTGAGGACTACTCAACCGGTCGTAAGTCGAGGACTACTCAACGGGTGCAGCACCGTTTGCAGACTGGGGCTTTTGGCGGGCTCCGCAGGGCAGAGACAGCCTGGACAATTCCTATTGGCTTTGGAAAGCCAATAGAATTAAGACTCTATTCAAGAGAGTCTATTCTATTGGCTTTCAAAAGCCAATAGAATAAAAGGGAGGAGCACAGCTAAGGAAAAGGGGGGAAAAATGGCGGACTGCGTTGTTTGGCGACCCCCGTGAAACGGTTGTTCGACCCCAAATGGGGTCCCGACCCACAGGTTGAGAACCACTGGCCTAGACCACTTCAGACAAGTGGCTGTCCAGTCTCTTCTTAAAAACCTCCAGGGATGGAGCACCCACAATTTCTGGTGGCCAGCTGTTCCCCTGGTTAATTGTCCTCACTGTCTGGAAATTTCTCCTTAATTCCAGGTTGCTTCTCTCTTGGGTCAGTTTCCAACCGTTGTTTCTCGTCCTTCCCTCTGGTGCTTTGGAGAATAACGTGACCCCCTCCTCTTTGTGGCAGCCCCCCCCAAATACTGTCACCCCCTAAGTCCTTCTTTTCTCTAGACTGGCCAGACCCATGTCCTGCAGCCGCCCTTCGTACGTTTTGGTCTCCAGGCCTTATGTACTCTCCAATCACAGCAAACCCCCCCCCCCCTTACCTGTGTGACCAGTAGGCCGGCTTGTGGTACTCGTACTCGGGGATGGCCATTTCATCCTCCTCCCAGGTGGACTGGTCGTAGGAAAGGTCCCGCCACTTCACCAGGTAGTGATAGATGCCCTTTTTGTCAATACTGCAGGTGGTCAACGCAGGTGGTGTGTGAGAGAGAGAGGGGGGGGGAAAGGGAGAGAGAGGGAGAAGGAGAGAGGGAGAGAGAGGGGGAGAGAGAGGGGGAGAGAGAGGGAGAGGAGAGAGGGAGAGGGGGGGGAGAGAGAGAGGGAGAGAGAGGGAGGGAGGAGAGAGGGAGGAGAGAGGGAGAGAGAGGGAGAGGGAGAGAGGGGGAGATAGAGGGAGGGAGAGAGGGAGAGGGAGAGAGAGGGAAAGGGAGAGAGAGGGAGAAGGAGAGTGGGGGAGAGGGAGAGGGAAAGGGAGAGAGAGGGAGAGAGAGGGGGGAGAGAGAGGGAGAGGGAGAGAGAGAGAGAGGGGAAGAGAGAGGGAGGGAGAGGGGGAGAGGGAGAGAGGGGAAGAGAGAGGGAGGGAGAGGGGGAGAGGGAGAGAGAGGGAGAAGGAGAGAAGGGGGGAGAGGGAGAGAAAGAGAGGGAGAGAGAGGGGCAAAGATAACCAGGTTTATTTATCATACTCCATATTAGGAATCAATGTTAAGACTACAAAGATGATGATGGAGCCATGAAAGCAACACACGCAAAGTTAAATGCTTCTCATTGTGAGTCTGAATGCAACCAACCAACAAACACGCCACTGTATAAGAATCGAAGGATTCGGACAGTATGGAAAGGCACCAGGGTAGAAATTGGGAGACGGGGAGTTCTAGTTCTGCCTTAGGCATGAAAGCTGGCTGGGTGACTCTGGGCCAATCACCAGGAGACGGTGAGTTCTAGTCCCGCCTTAAGCATAAAAGCCGGCTGGGTGACTCTGGGCCAATCACCAGGAGACGGTGAGTTCTAGTCCCGCCTTAAGCAAGAAAGCTGTCGGAGTGACTCTGGGCCAATCACCAGGAGACAGGGAGTTCTAGTCCCGCCTTAGGCATGAAAGCCGGCTGGGTGACTCTGGGCCAATCACCAGGAGACGGTGAGTTCTAGTCCCGCCTTAAGCATGAAAGCTGTCGGAGTGACTCTGGGCCAATCACCAGGAGACGGGGAGTTCTAGTCCCGCCTTAGGCATGAAAGCCGGCTGAGTGACATTGGGCCCGCCACTCTGTCTCAGCCCAACCCACCTCACAGACTTATTGTTATTGGTGTGGGGAAAACAGGAGAAAGGAGTGTGACTTATAAAGTCATAAAAGAACTAAAAAAAAAAACCCCAAACAAACACGCTGAGGCTTCCAGCCCGACGGAAAGCCACCTGTGGTTTATAACCCGATGGATGGTCATCCAGTCCGGCTTGATGCCGTAGCGGTAGTAGTTCTCCTCCATCTCCGCGTAGAGGGGATCCTTGCTCTTCCGCTTCTCGCTTTTGCCGTCGTCGTCGCCGGAGCCGTAGTCGAAGGGGGGAGGCTCGTCCATGTCGTTCTTCCGCTGGTAGTTTCTGTACATGACTAAGTGGAAGATCTCCAGCTGGGATTGGAAGGGAGAAGGAGAGCAGGAGGGATTACCTGTCTGGAGGACGGTGCCCCGAATCCAAGCCCGATTTTAATCCAGGAATATACCCAGGCTGCAGATGCAGAGTTTCCGGTTATCACCGCCCATCGACTGTTTCCGGCTATCGCCACCCATCGACTGTTTCCGGCTATCACCACCCATCGACTGTTTCTGGCTATCGCCACCCATCGACTGTTTCCGGCTATCGCCACCCATCGACTGTTTCCGGCTATCGCCACCCATTGACTGTTTCCGGCTATCGCCACCCATCGACTGTTTCTGGCTATTGCTACCCATCGACTGTTTCCTCCACCTTTTATAAGCCCGTTTTTTTCTCTGACGTTCGACAAAATCCCCGTTTTCCAATATTACCATTCGTTTTTTTAATGAAGAAAATGTACAGGACCGCCCGACTCGCTCCCGGGGGCTTCCAGGCAGCTTGTCGAAATAAAAACCCCAATAAAAAACTCAACAACACCCCCCCCCCAGAGCCTGGCAACAAGAGTCAAACCACAACTGCTTGATCAGCCACTGTTGGTATTTGATTGTTTGCCTGAGTTGGTTGTTGGTTGAACCGGAACACCTGACAGCAATCCAACACTCAGATAATAATGTTTGGTGTGTTAAATCGTCGCACCAAGATTTAACATTAAACCAACAATCCAGAAGTAAACCATTTCCCAATTAAGAAACTATCAACACAGACAAGACACACAGTCACAACACGCTAATTAAGCAGCTACCGGGAAGAAAACCACACTCCCACCGACACAGGCAGTGCATGCCCACTGTATATAAACAGAGAGTAAAGCCCACTCCCTTCTAACACTGATGGCATTCCCTAGTTGGGTCATGAAACGTCTGCAAGGAAAACCACCCAGCTCAGAGAGCACCCAGGACCCCACAGTCCTCCTCCTAGCACTGATGATGTTCCCTAGTTGGGTCATGAAACGTCTGCAAGGAAAGCCCCCCAGCTCAGAGAGCATCCAGGACCCCACAGTCCTCCTCCTCCTAGCACTGATGATGTTCCCTAGATGGGTCATGAGATGTCTGCAAAGGAAACCAGCCAGCTCAGAGAGCACCAGGGACCACTCCCCCGTCCTCCTCCTTCCCACTCCTCTTCCTCCTTCCCTCCTCTGACTCCTCCTCCTCCTTCTTCTTCCTCCTTTTTCCACTCAGTAAATCCCCTCTCCCTTCTAGCACTGATGATGTTCCCTAGTTGGGTCACGAAACATCTGCAAAGAAATCATCAAGCTTAGAGAGCACCAAAGATCCCATAGTTCTCCTCCTCCTCCTCCTCCTCCCTCCCTCCCCCTCCTTCTCTTCTCTTTCTCCTCTTCCTCCTTCTCCTCCTCCTCTCTCTTCTTCCTCTCTCCTCCCCTCCTCCACCTCCTCCTCCCACACTCCCTTCTAGCACCGATGACGTTCCCTAGTTGGGTCATGAAACGTCTGCAAGGAGACCCCTAAAAGCTCAGAGATCACCAAGGACCCCTCAGTCCTCCTCCTTCCATTCCACAGACGCCCCTCCCTTCCAGCACTGATGCTGTTCCCTAGCTGGGTCATGAGACGTCTGCGAGAAAAACCAGTCATCTCAGAGAGCCCCAAGGACCCCACCGCCCTCCTCCTTCCATCCCGCTCTTTCAACGTGACCCACAGCTACTCTCTTTTACTGATCATCCCTTTCGCTTCGGGGGGTCCATAAAATGGATATCCGCCGGTAAGTGCGATTGTGTTATCAAAACGGGGCCAGACAGGAAACAAACAAACAAACAAACAAAAGCTGGGACCGGCGACGGAAAGCTCCCAACTCAAAGAGACGGGGCTGAGCTCAGACCCCGCCCCCCACCTTCGGTTAGGATCCGGCTGTCCCTCTCCTCCCGGCCCTGGCCCGCCATCCCAAAGGGGGCATACCTGCAATTCCTTGATCCAGGAGCAGTGCCAGTAAGAGAGGCCCACCCATTTCACGAAGAATTCGCGCTCCGAGCGTCCCTGGAGCGTCTTCGGGGGCGGGTCATCCGGCTTGCGATCGGAGGGCAGGGGGACGGCCACCGGCGTTGGGGGCTCCCCCCACTGCCAGTGCAGAATCTTCTGGACCCGGCCCTTCAGCATCGGGCACTGCGAGCAGGGGAAAGAAGCCGTCAGAGATCGGCTGGCCGATCTCGCTCTTGTGAAGACGGTACTATTTTATTGATTTATCTATCTGATCTATCCATTTTATTCATTTTTATAGGGTTAGCATTGGGGTTAAGGTTAGGGTTGAGGGTTAGGGGTCGAGGACTACCTGTACAAAACCGAATAAAACAAATCCTGGTAACAACGATCAAACCAACTACTTGATGGGTTCCGTACCACCTCGGGGTCCCCGGGCCAATCTTATTTCCACAGGGAGGGAGGGAGCCACCACGGAGAAGGCCCTTCTGACTGGTCCCACCAGATGGACCCCTAACGCCCCGTCTCCCCATTCTGGTGGGTCACACGGATGTAGCTGGGAAAAGACAGTCCTTCAGATACCAGAGAGGGAGCCACCACGGAGAAGGCCCTTCTTCCTGGTCCCACCAGATGGACTTGCTTAAGAGAGGGGACCCCTAACACTCCCTGCCTCCCCATTCTGGTGGGTCACATAGATGTAACAGGGGAAAGCTGGTCCTTCAAATAACAGGGAGGGAGCCACCACAGAGAAGGCCCTTCCTACGGGTCCCACCAGATGGACCCCCCCCTTAAGAGAGGGGACCCCTAACACCCCCTGCCTCCCCATTCTGGTGGGTCACACATAACTGGGAAAAGAGGGTCCTTCCAATAACAAGGAGGGAACTGCCACCGAGAAGGCCCTTCTCCTGGATCCCGCCTTAAGAGAGGAGACCCCCTAACACCCCCTGCCTCCCCGCTCTGGTGGGTCACACAGATGTAACTGGGAAAAGACGGTCCTTCAAATAACAGGGAGGGAGCCACCACCGAGAAGGCCCTTCTTCCTGGTCCCACCAGATGGACCCCCCTTAAGACAGAGGACCCCTAACACCCCCTGCCTCCCCATTCTGGTGGGTCACACAGAGGTAACTGGGAAAAGATGGTGCTTCCAATAACAGGGAGGGAGCCACCACGGAGAAGGCCCGGTTCTCCGAGCCTTTGTGGAAGGTATACGTATTTCAAAACGGGGGGAGGGGGGCGTGGTGTCCCTCCCACCTGCGCCCTCCCCCTCCCTGCCTCCCCTCCTTCCCGGCGCCCTCACCGTGCAGCGGGGACACAACCACTCCCCGTTGGGGATCTCCGGCAGAGGCGGGTTGAGGCAGTGGATGTGGTACGAAGAGATGCAGGCGTCGCAACACAGCAGCTCCCCCCCGTCCTTACAGGTCCGGCAGTACTCCATGTGCTCGTCCTCCTCCTCCTTCTCCCCGTCGTCCAGCTCTCCTTCGTACTCGTCCTCCTCCTCCTTCGGCTCCCACTGTACTCCTTCTTTCTCCTGTAAGCCGGGGAGATCACACACACACACACACACACACGAGAGAAAGGAGAGCTGGGTTACCGAAATAGGGTCAACACAGAGCTGGGGGGGGGGTTCAAAGAGGAAGCAAAGGCACAGCAAAACCACATGCAAGAGCTTTAAATGGGGGGGGGCGGCCCTAAGCATTAGTGTATGGGGGGGTGTCCGGTATCGCCGGCTAGAATGTCGGACTGGGTAACGAGATCGAGACACGGCTATTTTGCTCCTGGGTCTTCTAAACATCCCCCGCGTGAGAGGTCCACCGCTTACAGCAGTGGGTTCTCAACTTTTTGAATGCCGCGACCCCCCCAACCGGTCGTACGTCGAGGACTACTCAATCGGTCGTAAGTCGAGGACTACTCAACTGGGGCAGCACCGTTTGCAGAATGGGGACATTTGGCGGGCTCAGCAGGGCAGAGACAGCCTGGACAATTCCTATTGGCTTTGAAAGCCAATTGAATTAGACTCTATTCAAGAGAGTCTCTTCTATTGGCTTTCAAAAGCCAATAGAATAAAAGCGAGTAGCACAGCTAAGGAAAAGGGGGGAAAAAATGGCGGACTGCGTTGTTTGGTGACCCCCGTGAAATGGTCGTTCGACCCCAAATGGGGTCCCGACCCACAGGTTGAGAACCGCTGACTTACAGCCACAATTCGGTCTAAAATTCCCATCCAGAGACTTTGGGGTCCATTTTACGACCTTTCTCTGCCATCGTCGTTAAGGTGAGCCACGGCAGGGGTTAAGTTTGTAACCTGGTTACTAAGCAAAGCCGGCTTCCTGCATTGACGTGGCTGGTCAGAAGGCTGCCGAAGGGGAGGATCACGTGACACCCCGCCCTCCACGGGACACTGCAACCGTCCTAAGTACCGGTCAGTTGCCAAGCGTCTGAATTTTGATCACGTGATGCTGCAGCGGTCGTTGAGTGTGGGAAAAAAGGGTCTTAAGTTCCCTTTTCCAGGGCTGTCGTAACCTCCAGCGGTCGCTAAAAGGGTGGCTGTTCTAGAGAGCCAAGTCTTTGCAGTGCAGAAATAGAACAGAACCACAAAGTCAGACGGGACCTCAGAGGTCTTATAGTCCAGCCCCTTGCTAGAAGGGTTAACCCAAAGGTGGCCCAAGTCCTTCTTTCAACCTGCCTCCAGAAGCAGTGAAGGCTCCAACACTGGAAGTTTTGAAGAAGAGACTGGACAGCCATTTGTCCGAAATGGTACTACAGGGTTTCCTGCCTGAGCAGGGGGTTGGACTAGATGACCTCCAAGGTCCTTTTCGAATCTTATCCTTTCTTCCTTCCCTTCCTCCCTCCCTCCCTCCCTTCTCCAACACTGGAAGTTTTGAAGAAGAGACTGGACAGCCATTTGTCCGAAATGGTACTACAGGGTTTCCTGCCTGAGCAGGGGGTTGGACTAGATGACCTCCAAGGTCCCTTTCAAATCTTATCCTTTCTTCCTTCCCTTCCTTCCTTCCTCCCTCCCTCCTCCAACACTGAAAGTTTTGAAGAAGAGACTGGACAGCCATTTGTCTGAAATGGGACTACAGGGTTTCCTGCCTGAGCAGGGGGTTGGACTAGATGACCTCCAAGGTGCCTTCCGAATCTTATTCTTCCTTCCTTCCTTCCTTCCTTCCTTCCTTCCTTCCTTCCTTCCTCCCTCCCTCCCTCCCTCCCTCCCTTCTCCAACAGTGGAAGTTTTTAAGAAGAGACTGGACAGCCGTTTGTCCGAAACGGGATAGGGTTTCTTGCCTGAGCAGGGGGTTGGACTAGATGACTTCTAAGGTCCCTTCCGAATTTTATTCCTCCTTCCTTCCTCCCTCCCTCCCTCCGTCCTCCAACACTGGAAGTTTTGAAGAAGAGACTGGACAGCCATTTGTCCGAAATGGGACTACAGGCTTTCCTGCCTGAGCAGGGGGTTGGACTAGAACAGTGGTTCTCAACCTTTTTAATGCCGCGACCCCCAACCGGTCGTAAGTCGAGGACTACTCAACTGGTGCAGCACCGTTTGCAGAATGGGACTTTTGGCGGGCTCAGCAGGGCAGAGACAGCCTGGACAATCCCTATTGGCTTTTGAAAGCCAATAGAATTAGACTCTATTCAAGAGAATCCATTCTATTGGCTTTCAAAAGCCAATAGAACAAAAGGGAGTAGCACAGCTAAGGAAAAGGGGGGGAAAAATGGCGGACTGCATTGTTTGGCGACCCCCGTGAAATGGTCGCTCGACCCCAAATGGGGTCCCGACCCACAGGTTGAGAACCACTGACCTAAAAGACCTCCAAAGTCCCTTTCAACTTTACTATTATTATTATTATAACCCCAGCCCATCTCCTTGTCCCACTATGCACATAGCACCCCTAATCCCCCAGGTCCCTTTCCTTCTACCCTTCACCGGCCCACCCCAATTTTTTCCAAAGGAACCAGCCACGCTGGCTCTCGCAGCCGGACAGACCCGCAGGGAAAAACCGGTCCCAGCGAATCCGTGAAATCTGAATTTCCCCCCGATTGTTCCGAGGCGTCTTTGGCTAAAGCGGGGAAGGAGGGCTGGATCCCGCGTCCAGCCCGGGGTGGGGTGGGGTGGGCAAGATGGCGCGAGGTGCCAGTGTGCAGAGAGCAAGGAAGGAAAGTGAACAGGCTTACACAGTGTGGACAGCTCCACTTGCCCTCGGGGGCCTTATCCAGCTCCGGATCCAGGCACACCAGATGGTAAGCTCTGGGACACGAGTCGCACAGGATGATCTCCCCGCCCTGCTGACACACCTCGCAATAGTCTTGGTGGTCGGTCTCGTAGCCGTCCGCCTCTTCTTCGCCAGCCACTGCGAGGGGAGGAGAGAGGAAATAGGGTGAGGGTCTCCCCAGCATCCCAAGACTGCTCTAGGACCCCGAGGATGGGCCTTCCCATGGTCCTGTAGCTGCACGTACAGTAGTGGCCCAAATTGTGGAAACCTTTTGGGAAAAATGTGTTTTTGAGGTTTGGTGGCTAATAACACCACTTTCTTTTTTTGTAGTAGTAGTACCATAAAATTATATATCAATGGAAAGATCATTTAATCAAGAACGCAATGCAACCATTTCCGTTCAATTATCTGTACCGTATTCTGTGAAAAGGGACAGCCAAATAAGCCAGAAAAAGGAAGCACAACTTGCTTCGGTTGATCTCAGGTAGCTCTGATTGCAGCCAATGAGCACCAGTGCTTAGCGAGCCAATTGGGTGTCTTCTTGTTTTGGCCACGAGCCAACCAGATCACCGTAGGATCCAGTGATTGATGTCATGTATTGAAGCCGAGAGGAGGACATTGGTCAGTGTGTGATGGGATCGCTATCCAGTGGGTTGGGTTTTTTTGTGTGTTCTTCCATTTAGGGAGCTTGTAAAATGTCACAAAATTAAAGTAGTTATTATTATTATTATTATTATTATTATTATTATTATTATTAATCATCACAGTCAGCCAGATGTTCACACTGGATTTGGCATTTTTTAAAATTAATTATTATTATTATGGATCATCGCACAGTCAGCCAGTTGTTCAGACCGGATTTGGCATTTTGTCTACCTATCGAGTCCTTACCCAGGACCTGGGATAGGCAGAGGTGGATGTTTGATGGTATTACAGGTATCGTCTCAGGATGGAAGCAGTTCCTAGTAAGGCCGCCTTTTGCAATTGACTAATAGCGAATTTGTCAATGCCAATGATGGTGTTCAAGTGGTGCTCCAGTTGTTTTGGGATTGCACCCAAGGAGCCTATGACTATTGGTACTACCCTTGCTTGCTTTTGCCACAGTCTTTCTATTTCTATTTGTAGGTCTTTGTATTTTGTGATCTTCTCCAGTTCTTTCTTGTCTATTCTGCTGTCTCCAGGCACTGCCACGTCCACCAGACTTTTTTGTCTTTCTTATCGACAATTGTTAAGTCTGGGGTATTATGTTGCAGGTGCTTGTTTATTTTTATTTTATTTATTTTTATTATTGAAAATTTTTAAAATTTTTACAAATAGGGAAAAGAAAAAAGAAAAAACAAAAAACAACCCTACCCAACCACCCCAACCCTCCCACTCCATCCCCCCAACCTTCCCAAAGCTGAATATAGGCTTAATTAAAATTTCTAAAAATCTTAAAAAGAAATTAAAAAAGTATAAACCATAAATATATCTAAATACATTACATAAGCTTATAAGATAATTAACCATAATATATATGTAAAAAAGAAAAGCATAAATATATATATTTATTTATTTTTTAAATTATTATTATTACTATTATTATTATTATTACTAAACCAAGGACCCCACCGTTCAACCTGAGCTACAAAAATCCCTTTCTGTAGAGGATTACGATCACGATTTATCACTTCGTTCCTGGCAGCCACATCGACAGCTTATGCACTAGGGACAAATTCCTTGTGTGTGTGTCCAGTGACGCTTGGCCAATAAAGAATTCTGGGAAAGCCTCCGGAATTATCTAGCCACGGACACCCAAAGTTTGAAAAGAAAAAAAAACCCTGTTCTTTCTCGACAGCCGAGGACAGCGCAGCACCCTTTCCACCTTTTTAATTAGTAAGGTGCCCTTCGTGGTGGGAGAAGGCCTCCCTGCGTCTCCCACCCCGGGCGGGACGAGCTTAACCTCACCTTTTTTCTTCTTCCGTCCGGGCCGACCCCGCCTGAGTTTCTTGACCCTTCCTGAACTGTCGGAACGCACGGAAGAACTGTGAACGCTCGAGTTATCCAGGTCGGATTCTTCTTCCGGGTCCGCCACCTCATCACTCTGAAACAAATGCTGTACATAACCGGAGCGGTCCTCCATTAGGAAAAACCCACAAAGAGGCAAGAGATGAAGAGGAACGGTGGTGGGAAAGGAAAGAGGGACGGGGGGGGGGTTTGTGGTACCCCCGACTTCGGAGCTACACCCCAAAAGCAAGCAGAAAGACGCAAGAAGGAGCTTTCCGCCCGGCCCAGCCCAACGATGGAGTTGACCAACCTGGTTTGGCTACAAAGGGGTTGGATCTGAGGGACCGCGCGCGGGTCTATTTCACACGGCAAAGGGTGAGGGGGCAGGAAGAAAGGACGTGGAGATGAGGTTGTAAACGACAAGCACGCATCCCGCAGTCGCAACCATGCAACCTGAATTTGCCGCGCCGGTTCCTCAAAGGAATCTCAGGCTAAGGATATTGCCAAAAGGGTCACTGGCACTGCCAGGGCTTAGAGCAAGGGTGTGCAACCTTGACAACTTTATGACTTGTGGATTTTCAAGTCCCAGAATGGAACTCAAAGTCTTCAACTTTTAAGAATTGTGGACTTCAAGTCCCAGAATTAAACTCAAAGTCTTCAACTTTAAGACTGGACTTCAAGTCCCAGAATTGAACTCAAAGTCTTCAACTTTAAGACTTTGGACTTCAAGTCCCAGAATTGAACTCAAAGTCTTCAACTTTAAGACTTTGGACTTCAAGTCCCAGAATTGAACTCAAAGTCTTCAACTTTTAAGAGTTGCAGACTTCAAATCCCAGAATTGAACTCAAAGTCTTCAACTTTTAAGAATTGTGGACTTCAAGTCCCAGAATTGAACTCAAAGTCTTCAACTTTAAGACTTTGGACTTGAAGTCCCAGAATTGAACTCAAAGTCTTCAATTTTAAGACTTGTGGACTTCAAGTCCCAGAATTGAACTCAAAGTCTTCAACTTTAAGACTTTGGACTTCAAGTCCCAGAATTGAACTCAAAGTCTTCAACTTTAAGACTTTGGACTTCAAGTCCCAGAACTGAACTCAAAGTCTTCAACTTTAAGACTTTGGACTTCAAGTCCCAGAATTGAATTCAAAGTCTTCAACTTTACGAATTGTGGACGTCAAGTCCCGGAATTGAACTCAAAGTCTTCAACTTTTAAGAATTGTGGACTTCAAATCCCAGAATTGAACTCAAAGTCTTCAACTTTAAGTCTTTGGACTTCAACTCCCAGAATGGAACTCAAAGTCTTCAACTATGACTTGTGGACTTCAACTCCCAGAATTGCCTAGCCAGCTGCAGGGGCATTGAAGTGCACTGGTCATGAAGTTGCCAAAGTTGGGGACCCTTGGCTTAAGAGTCACACCCCCTCCCCATGGCTAGCAATAGCCAGCACGCCAGCCAACGATGCCAAGTCCGCTCCATTTGCAGAAGAGCGACTAGCTCGTTCCGAGGTGGGCTGGTGGTCTCTTTTGAAAAAGCCACAAAGCTCTTCCACCTTGCAAAATTGGATCCAGAAATGCCGAAGCCCTCAAGCTCAGCTCGGGGGGGGGGGCGGGGGGGTCCACATTCACACGCACAGCTTTGAGGGACTGGGTCTTACTGAGCTGCTTTTTTTCCGCTTCCCGCCGATCATGCCCAGCTTGATCTTCAGGGGCGCCATCTTCTTCCCTTTTATCCTCCTCTTCACCTCCGGGACGCGGGGGCTTTTGCTCCGCTTCTTGTGGCCCGGTCCTTGGGTGGAAGGAGGCGGCGGGGGGGGGGGAACACAAACAAACATAAAAAACCCAAAAAAAGGACTTCTCAGGTGAACGGTCCACATTGTCGTCAGAAAGAGACGGGCGGGTTTCGGGGAACGGCTCCAAAGCGGCGAAGCGGAGGGCAAAAAGATGGTCTAGGCCAGCAGTTCTCAACCTGTGGGTCGGGACCCCATTTGGGGTCGAACGACCATTTCACGGGGGTCGCCAAACAACGCAGTCCGCCATTTTTCCCCCCTTTTCCTTAGCTGTGCTCCTCCCTTTTATTCTATTGGCTTTTGAAAGCCAATAGAATGGACTCTCTTGAATAGAGTCTAATTCTATTGGCTTTCCAAAGCTAATAGGAATTGTCCAGGCTGTCTCTGCCCTGCTGAGCCCGCCAAAAGTCCCATTCTGCAAACGGTGCTGCAAGTTGTCTGCAGCGAAGGCGAGCTGTCTGGAAGTTTCCACCCCTCCCTGCTGAGCAACTACTAAAAATGTAAGGAAAAGAGGGCCAGGGGTGGGAGGTGGGAGGCCGGCGGGCGCAGGGAGGGTTGCTGGCGCACGTGGGGCCCGGCGGTGCCTTACCTCCCTTGGGCTGGGCCAGCTGGTGGCCCAGCCGGTGGTCGGCCTGCGCCATCGCTGCCCCTTGCCAGCTACGCCTCGGCCGGCGCAGGGGGCGGCACCACGCATACGCAGGGCTCCCGGGCAGGGAAAGTCCTTGACTTACGACCGGTTGGGTAGTCCTCGACTTACGACCGGTTGGGTAGTCCTCGACTTACGACCAGTTGAGTAGTCCTCGACTTACGACCGGTTGAGGTTGTGGCATTAAAAAGGTTGAGAACCACTGGCCTAGGATCATCTCATCCCAGAGAAAGGCGAGCGTTGCGGCTGCTCTGCTCGCTTGCAAAAAAAAAAAATCAAAGATGGCGGACGGGGGGGGGGAAACGGGACAAGGGGTCGAGAGGATTCAAAGTTGGCCCCTTCCAGTTATTTCCAGGAAGGTGGGAGCCTGCCAGGCTTAAGCGCGGAAAGCTGGAGGATCCGCTAAGTCTGGGTTGAGGGCCAACAACTTAGGCCGGTGTTGGCCCGTCCCCTTGTAGTAACACCTCTCAACTCTGGCTCAAGTCTTCTGCTTTTAAGCTCCAGACGCGACAGCCCTGGCTCTGCACCCGGAGCTAACTCAAGCCTAGAAGAGACACGGGCTCCCCTAAAGAGCTCCTCTTTGTGGGGTCCTTGGTGGTCTCTGAGCTGGGGGGGGAGCTAACTGGCAGAGGGTTTCATGACCCAACTGAGGAACTTCAGCGGGGCTAGAAGGGAGGGGGGTTTGCAGAGTGGAGGGAGGAGAGAAGAGAGGAAGGGGAGGGGGGAGGAGGAGGAGGAGAAAGAGAAAAGGACTGGGGGGGTCCTTGGTGCTCTCTGAGCTGGGTGGTTTCCTTGCAGACGTTTCGTGACCCAACTGGGGAACATCATCAGTGCTAGAAGGGAGGAGGAGGAGAAGAAGAAGGAGAAGGAGGAGGAGAAGAAGGAGAAGAAGAAGGAGGAGGAGAAGAAGAAGGAGGAGGAGGAGGAGGAGGAGGAGAAGAAGAAGAACTGAGGGCTCCTTGGTGCTCTCTGAGCTGGGTTCTTTTCTTGCAGACGTTTCATGACCAAACTAGGGAACATCGTCATTGCTAGAAGGGTGGGGGGTTGTGGAAAGGAGGAGGAGGAGGAGGAGGAGGAGGAGGAGGAGGAGGAGGAGGAGGAGGAGGAGGAGGAGGAGGAGAGTGACTGAGTGGTCCTTGGTGCTCTCTGAGCTGGTTGGTTTCCTTGCAGACGTCTCAGGACCCAACTAGGTGACGTCAACAGTGCCAGAAGGGGGTGGGGGTCTTCTCCCTGTTTATATACAGGAGCTTGCTCTGCCTGTGTTGGTGGGAGCCTAGTAGCCCCCTTGGGTGTTCTCTGATTGGGCTATTCTCTTCTGTCTGGGGTTTATCCTTGCTTCTCTAAGTGTGAGCTTTTGCAGAGTTCTGTGTTCTGGGTTTTTTGTTCTTTTGGCAGCCCTGATGACGTTCCCTAGTTGGGTCATGAAACATCTGCAAGAAAACCCTCAAGATCAGAGACCGCCAAGGACCCCACAGTCCTCCTCCACCCTGTAATCCCTTCTAGTAGGGTCATGAAATGTCTGCAAGAAAACCCTCAAGTTCAGAGAGCACCCAGGACCCCACAGTCCTCCTCCTCCTTCTCCTCCTCCTCCCTCCCTATAATCCCTTCTAGCACTGATGATATTCCCTAGTAGGCTCATGAAACGTCTCCAAGAAAACCCTCAAATTCAGAGAGCACCAAGGACGCCACAGTCCTCCTCCTCCTCCTCCTCCTGTTCTTCTCTCCTCCTCCTGTCTGCAACCCGTTCCTTCTAGCACTGACCACGTTCCCTAGTTGGGTCATGAAACGTCGGCCAGACAAGCACCCAGCTCAGAGAGCACCAAGGACCCCACAGTCCTCCTCCTCCGCTTCCTGTCTCCACAATCCCCCCTTCCTTCCATCACTGATGATGTTCCCTAGTTGGGTCATGAAACGTCTGCAAGAAAACCCTCAAGTTCAGAGACCGCCAAGGACTCCACAGTCCTCCTCCCTCTCCTCCTGCCCTTCTCTTCGTCCTCCTTCTCCTCCTCCTGTCTGCAACCCGTTCCTTCTAGCACTGACCACGTTCCCTAGTTGGGTCATGAAACGTCGGCCAGACAAGCACCCAGCTCAGAGAGCGCCAAGGACCCCCACAGTCTTCCTCCTCCTCCTCCTCACCCCCCCCCCCACAGTCGACCTGATCTGGCCAGCCGCCGCCCCTCCCCGGGTCCCCCACCCCATTCCTCGTCCCGCCTCGTCCCGGTGTCTTGCAGAGGAGGGCTGACCGGCGCCCGGCACTCACCTTTGCCCTCTTTGGTTTTGGCTTTGCGGAGGGGAAGAGGCTGGGGCGGGGGCTGCAGCAGGTGTTGGGGCTCGGGCGAAGGGATGACGGCCGACACGGCGGCGGAGACCTGTTCTGCGACGGCGGCGGCCGCTGCGGCCGCGGCGGCCGCGGCCACGGCGGCCGTGGAGCCCTTGAAGGGGTTGTTGGCGCTGAATTCCCGCCACTTGGCTCCCATGATGGTCATCATCTTGGACATGGGGATCTTGGGGTTCTTTTTGGCAATGAGAGGCCTGCAGGAGGGAGGGAGAGGCGATGCAAAAGGGTCACTGAAGCCCCCCCGTCGTTGGGCCTGGGAAGGCTGGACTCTGCCTTTCGCGGCAACAGCAGACTCCAAACTCACAGCCTGCCCCACGGTGCTTTCACAGCCCTCCTCTCTGAGTGGTTCGGGGTCACCCTGTTTCCCCCCCCCCACACACACACACACTGCCCAACAATCTGGGTGCTCATTTGACTGACCTCGGAAGGACGGAAAGCCGAGTCAAGCTTGAGCCGGTCAGGATCGAACTGCTGGCGGTGGGCAGTGGGTTAGCCTGCAGCACTGCCTTGTAACCACTGTGCCATCATAGCTTCCTTCCTTCTCCTTCTTTCCTTTCCTTCCTTCCCATTTTCCTTCCTTCCTTCCTTCTCCTTGTTTCCCTTCCTTCCTTCTCCTTGTTTCCTTTCCTTCCTTCCTTTCTTCCTTCTCCTTGTTTCCTTTCCTTCCTTCTCATTTTCCTTCCTTCCTTCCTATTTTCTTTCCTTCCTTCCTTCCTTCTCCTTGTTTCCCTTCCTTCCTTTCCATTTTCCTTCCTTCCTTCCTTCCTATTTTCTTTCCTTCCTTCCTTCCTTCTCGTTTCCCTTCCTTCCTTCCCATTTTCCTTCCTTCCTATTTTCTTTCCTTCCCTTCCTTCTCATTTTCCTTCCTTCCTTCTCCTTGTTTCCCTTCCTTCCTATTTTCTTTCCTTCCTTCCTTCCCATTTTCCTACCTACCTTCTCATTTTCCTTCCTTCCTTCCTTCTCGTTTCCCTTCCTTCCTTCCCATTTTCCTTCTTTCCTTCCTTCTTTCCTTCTCATTTTCCTTCCTTCCTTCCTTCCCTTCCTTCCCTTCCTTCCTTCCTTCCTTTCCTTCCTTCTTCCCTTCCTGATTGGACAGCCCCTTGTCTTAAATGATATAGGGATTCCTGCTTGAGCGGGGGGCTGGACTAGAAGACCTTCAAGGTCCCTTCCAGCTCTATTCTGATTGATTGACAGCTGTTTGTCTGAAATGGTATATAGGGTTTTCCTACCTGAGCAGGGGGTTGGACTAGATGACCTCCGAGGCCCCTTCCCGCTTTGCTGTCATTAAAAAAAAAGCCAGGGGCGCAAGCTCCTCGGCGGGAACTGGAGAAGATAGGAATTTTCCTGGCAGCGGGAAAGATTAATCAAAGGAACACTTTTGCCTCCCGGAGCTGTGCGCCTTCCATCGTCGCTGGAGGTTTTGAAGAAAAGATTGCGCAGCCCGTTTTGTCCGGGACGACATATATGGGCTCCCGCCTTGGGCAGGCTGGGGTTGGACTAGATGACCTCCCAGGTCCCTCCCATTCTATAACCCTTTTTTACAAATCAGAGGGGGGGCTTTCGCCAGGCCCCCTTGCCTGGCTGCTCGGGTCGTAAAAAAACGCACTGGCGCTGCCTCCTTTTAGAAAAACGAGACGCGTTTCGTCGGAAAGGGATGCCCAGAAGAAGGAAGGGTCAATATCCAAGTTTTTTTTTTTTTTTTAAATCAGGTTCTAACCCCGGAGCATGAGAACGGGACACTTAGGAACGGGGCAGTCAGGGGGTCCAACGAAACCGCTTTAAAAACAGCGGAGGCTGGAAATCTTGCCACATCAGGGAGGGGATGAGACAGGCGCTAGGGGGGGATTGGGGGAGGAAGAAGCAAAAAGCAACCAAGCTAGTGGAGAGGAGAGCGAGCCTGTTTCTCCAGCCAGCCGCAACATCACACAGCAAATCGCTTCCGCTCTCTCCTCCCTTGGGGAATCTAACGTGTGTGTGTGTGTGTGTGTGTGTGTGTGTGTGTGTGTGTGTGTGTGTACACAGACACAGCTCCAGCGCACCAAAGCGGAGGATTAAAGGGGTCTCCCCTCCTCTCTTATCAGTCCCCAGGGAACGGACGAGAAACTGCCAAACTAGAACGGGCCAACGCTCCATTTAATCCGACCAGAGGCCGAACGTCGCTGGAGGAAACGATGCTGAGATTTGGGCAGAGTGAGCCTGGAGGCACAAGCATCCTGGTGCCCCCCAGCCCCCCCACCTTATCCCCCCAAGCCCCCCACCCGCCCCCAACCGAGAAGCCCCCCCAAAGCAGAAGACATCCATCATTTCCAATCGTTCTGCTTGCCAAGGGGGAGGGCTGCTTTCTCGGTCCTGCTTCCTGCACACAGACCCACACACGCACACGCACACACCGTGCACACAGCTTCAGGACTTCACTGGCTGCCAGTGGAACCACCTGCCTCCAGAAGCGGTGAATGCTCCAACACTGGAAGTCTTTAAGAAGAGACTGGACGGCCATTTGTCCGAAATGGGAATAGGGTTTCCTGCCTGAGCAGGGGGTTGGACTAGATGACCTCCAAGGTCCCTTCCAACTTGATGATGATGATGATGATGATGATGAACCCATCTGCTGATGTCTGAGCCGGTGGGGGCTTAAGCCTACACAAAGACCATTTGTCCACAATTCTATTCTATTCCTATTTCTTATTCTATCCAATCCAATCCGATCCTATGCTATCCTATCCTATTCTATTCAGCAGGGGGCTGGACTAGAAGACCTCCAAGGTCCCTTCCAGCTCTTATTCTATTCTTCACTTACAGCCACTGGCGTGGCAGGAAAGGCCACCGAATGGGCCAAAACGCACTTAACCAATAATCTCACTTAGCAACATAAATGTCGGGCTCCGTTGCGGTCCTTAAGTCGAGGACTACCAGCCGTGGCGTCAGAGGCCGTTTGGGATGTGCCATCGTTACGACACCGTCTATTTTAGGGCAGATCCGTTGATATCCCGATTTCTTAAGAGACTCTTCAGGGGCAAAATCCCTTCCTGTCCGTTTTAAAATCTAAGACGGGCCGTTTGGGGGTAGAGCTGTTAAGCGAGACCTTGGCTAAGCGGGTTTTGTCCCATTTTATGACCTTTCTCGCCACCGTCGTTAAGTGGATAGCTGCAGCTGATAGGTTAGTAAGCGGGCTGCTAAGCGGACCCGGCTTCCCCCCATTGACTTTGCTTGTCAGAAGCTCACAAAAGGGAATTAGGTGGTTTCCCCCCCCACCCACCCCCGGGACGCCGCAACCGTTGTAAATACGAGTCCGTTGCCAAGTGGCTGGATTTTGATCTTACGATCGTGGGGATGCCGCAAGTGTGAAAAAGGGCCCCAAGTCGCTTTTATTCAGTGCCGCCGTGATTTTGAACGGTCACTAAACGAAGCACAGCGAGGACAAAGGCGAGTATTAAAGGGCCAGAACGAAATTTGAAATGATTTAATGTGAGAACTCTCTATACCAGGGATGGGGAACCTTGCCTCTTTTATGACTCCTGGACTTCAATTCCTGAGCCAGCCATGCTGAGGGGAAAGGGAGAGGTTTCCAAGCCGAGCCATGTTGGCTCAGGAATTCTGGGAGTTGAAGTCCACCAGTCATCAAGGGAGCCATAATTCCCCCATGCTGGCTGAGGAATTCTGGGAGTTGAAGTCCACCAGTCATGAAGGGGCCAAAGTTCCCCCATGCTGGCTCAGGAATTCTGGGAGTTGAAGTCCACGAGTCCTAAAGGGGGGCATAGTTTCCCTCATGCTGGCTCAGGAATTCTGGGAGTTGAAGTCCACGAGTCATCAAGGGAGCCATAGTTCCCCCATGCTGGCTCAAGGAATTCTGGGAGTTGAAGTCCACAAGTCATCAAGGGACCATAATTCCCTCATGCTGGCTCAGGAATTCTGGGAATTGAAGTCCACGAGTCATCAAGGGAGCCATAGTTCCCCCATGCTGGCTCAGGAATTCTGGGAGTTGAAGTCCACGAGTCCTAAAGGGGGGCATAGTTTCCCTCATGCTGGCTCAGGAATTCTGGGAGTTGAAGTCCACGAGTCATCAAGGGAGCCATAGTTCCCCCATGCTGGCTCAAGGAATTCTGGGAGTTGAAGTCCACAAGTCATCAAGGGACCATAATTCCCTCATGCTGGCTCAGGAATTCTGGGAATTGAAGTCCACGAGTCATCAAGGGAGCCATAGTTCCCCCATGCTGGCTCAGGAATTCTGGGAGTTGAAGTCCATGAGTCATCAAGGGAGCTATCGTTCCCCCATGCTGGCTCAAGGAATTCTGGGAGTTGAAGTCCACGAGTCCTAAAGGGGGCCATAGTTCCCCCTTGCTGGCTCAGGAATTCTGGGAGTTGAAGTCCACGAGTCATCAAGGGACCATAGTTCCCTCATGCTGGCTCAGGAATTCTGGGAGTTGAAGTCCAGAAGTCATCAAGGGAGCCATAATTCCCTGATGCTGGCTCAGGAATTCTGGGAGTTGAAGTCCACGAGTCCTAAAGGGGGCCATAGTTCCCCCATGCTGGCTCAGGAATTCTGGGAATTGAAGTCCACAAGTCATCAAGGAGCCAAAGTTTCCCTCATGCTGGCTCAGGAATTCTGGGAGTTGAAGTCCACAAGTCATCAAGGAGCCAAAGTTTCCCTCATGCTGGCTCAAGAATTCTGGGAGTTGAAGTCCACAAGTCCTAAAAGAGCCAAGCTTGCCTACCCCTGCTCTATACCGTATCATATATTGAACACAATAATAGTTTTTTCTCATCCATTGCATTAAAAAATAATAATGTACTTGGGGGGGGGGTGTGCATCACGTGAAGAAGCCAGGAGCCTCGGTCCTCTTGCTCCCCCCCCAAAAAAAATAAAAATAAAAACCCATTTCGAAAATTATCCGTCAATCAACCTCCTTTTGCCGCTTTGCGCTATGATCTCATTCGGACGGGTGGATCGGGCTGGTTTAATTATTGATGGCCGATGCGGCCCACAATGCACCACCGACGGGCTATTAAAGTAAAAAAAAAAAAAAAAAAAGGAGGGATGCCATTACGGAGAAATACGAGCTCTGGCTTTAAAAGGGGAGGGGGAAGCGAAAGGGGGGGGAGAGAAAAAATATGCAAGGCGCTCAACACCGAAGGAGGGAGGGGTCTGAATTGATTTCATTTCAAAATGGTTTCCAGAAAACAGGCGTGTCTCCGA